GGAGTCAGCTAAGCTCCTTAGCAACCCTCCGTAGTGGAAACTTTCCACTAGACCCACCGAAGAAGTTAAAACAACCCCCACAGAGAATTTAACTTGTTTTTACACCTTCTGAAACTATTAGGAGACCTTTTTAAGTGAGATTCAAAAAATTTGAAATTTTGAAGGAACGCTCCGAAGTAACCCTCCGGAGCATATTTAGCCTCTTATTGACCCTCCTTAGTGAATTTAAGGGGTCCCTCAGAAGTAACTTGGGTGATTGAGATACCCTCCGAAGTAGCCCTCCGAGGTAAGTTAAGTGTCTTAATAACCCTCCGAAGTAACCCTCCGGAGTGACTTAAGCCCCTTAACAACCCTCCTTATTGAAAATTTAGGGGTACCTTCTGGGTAATTTGAGCAACTAAAATATCCAATTAGAGTCAGAATAAAGGGTCAACTACCAACGGGCGTGCATATTAGGATCACAGGAGCCCATTTGACCCGGAAATTTGTGATCAACTTTGGATTCTAGATCGGATCTGTCAGAAGTACCCGATCCAAATTTTTTTTGATTGTTATTTTGGTTATGTGGTTGCCTTGAGCTACTTAATAGGAAAGCTCGGGCAATCCGAGAACACATAAAAGAAGACCTCGGTGAGGGTATTAAGCAAATACACACTCACTTGAGAAGAAGAGTTGTTCCCTGCTCTAGTGCACTTGGGGCGTCCCGGGTGTGGGGGAGCTTTTTCAAAAACTTTAGAAGTTTTCGATCACAGGTTGCCTTGAGCTACTTAGTAGGACAACTCAGGCAATAGCAGGCACCTAAAAAAAGGCCTCAGTGAGTGTTTTAGGCAAATACACACTCACTTGACAAGACAGTCTCCTGGGCTTCAGTCTTTTGGAGTGTTTCGATTGAGGGAAGTCTTTTTCTTTAAGACTAAGTTTTAATTATCTATTCCTGAATCATCACTACTTTTTTACAAAAAATTGTTTGGTATTAATAAAACAGTGTTTTGATACGAGTGTGGCCGTAAATTGATACTGACGAAAGATCGCTGTCACCTGTTGGATATTTATATCTGATTATCAATTGTGTTTTGTATATTGACCATATCTTGTAAAAATTTTGTGATACTGTTATACTAGGCAACTGGGTGGGGTTAGCATTATCTTAATACTAAGCAAGCCCTGTGTGTAACCTTAGATGAGTCACTAATATCATCAACAAGAAATCGGAGGAATATTTTTGATATTGAAGAAGTCGAGTAGGCGGCGTTAAGTAAATTAATTTGAACTTTTTTGCGGTACGCGTGCATTGCCATTAATTTGTACGAACAATACTGTTTATTACAAATTATGCAGCGTAGAGACACATTAGGTTTGACTACTAAGATTCCCAGGCTGAGCAGGGGAAGCACGTGAAAGTTTAAAACTAGGCGTAGCCAATCTTCGTTTAGCAGAGCTTCCGACGTTTTTGCTGACAACGAATCGACTACAGGTCAAGCTGATCTTTCAGTGAGCGGAATGAAACTAAGAAGCAAGAGGAACCTCAATGGCAGTCAAGGGCGAAGTGCCGAGGTCGAACCGGCGAGCGAGGCGCTTGTGAACCCCTTCGACGAAGGGGAACAAACGCTCATCCAACCCGACTTTAGCCAGGTGAGGACCTCGAACGGGAGGTGGTCGAAACGACGGAAGAGGCCTCGGAGCGTTCCATGGTCGAACCGCGAGAAGAAGTGTTGTTCAGAGGAATGTCCAAATTAGAGACTAAGACTCATAAGTGGAGAAAAGAACAATCATCCCTGGTCAAGCGGAGCAAGATGCGATGGTGTCAAGTATAAGTCCGAGTGAAGAACAAACGGGTTCGAAAGCCAAGAAAAGCTGGAAGTTTTTGTACGATTAGCGCATCACGTCACTACAAACTGAAGGTCTATCTTCCAGTTATGAGCATCCGGAGATAACCCATCCGGATGTGAACTTCACGCCGTGCACAGGGAACGACATGAGCAGGAAGGCGTTTTCCACCTCGCCGACCAGGCCCATGTCTGATGGGATAACCGTAGGAGCATCCTCGACGTTCGACAGGTTGATGATGTCGATGGGCTAGCAAAAGGGCGGCGCGTCATCGAGTACAAGGCTGCAACCGCAGTTGTCCTCAACTTCTCTGGGTCTAACCCCAGCATCGGGGGCGGCTGGCGATATAAGTGACATGTTTGCTGGCGTAGTGACAGGCCTGTAAGAACTGCGACGGGACATGACTAAGAGAATAGATCGAGTCGAGGAGAGAGCTCACCAGGGTCAAGAGAAATTGCGAGATGAACTAACACACGTGAAGTCGCAGGCGAGTGTCGATCAGGCTCAATTGATTCGCAACACCGATCAAGGCCTGGCGGAGAGCTTGGCTCAGGCAAACAAGGAGTCAGAGGAAAGAGAACTTAGGAAGACAAGAGAGATCGAGCGATTATTGAACGATCACGACAATACCTACGCTCATACGATGACTAGCCTGGAAAAAAAGTTAGATGCCAAATCTGACCTGATGATGCGGAAGCTTGACGAGATCTTAAACGGGAGCAATCGGGAGGAGCGTTCCGCCCCAAGGTAGTGCTCACGCCAGGCAAATGATGGAGATGGAGCACGCAGCTATGCCTGGGCCCAACAATCTTCAAGAACGTATTACGAATCTAAGCACAGGGAGCGGCCCAGGGCAGCCCCATCGAGGCCAGGTTGGACAAATCCGGTCCCTGCAGAGGCGGATGCCACCCCGGAGACAAGATTGCCCACTGTGCCACAAGTCAGATCAGTGCCAGATCTGACTACGGTCTCGCAGGACACAATGCTGTATGCTTCGATGTTTGAGCCTCTGAATAGATCTCTCGAAACATTCATCACCAAGCTCTCGAAGTCGACCGAGAGGTGAGAGAGGTCAAGAAGGACACTTAAGAAGCCGAAGTCATATAAGGACGAGTCAGATGGCTGCATTGATACTTGGATAGAGGCAATGAAGCTGCACTTTGAAGAAGAGAATCTCTCAAAGAAACAGGAGCGCAGCGCACTGACAAGCAATTTGGAGGGGACCGCCCTAAATTGTGTGATGGCGAAAAGGGCCGATGAACGAGAAAGCGCTCGCAAGGTATTCGACATCTTGCTGAACCGTTTGGGCTCTGGAGTACAAGGGCCTCAGGCTATGGTGAAGTTCGAAAAGAGGCGTCAAAGAGATGACAAATCCATAGACAAGTTTTTGGATGACCTTAAATTACTCAGAAGGAGAAGCAATCCCGATAAGAGAACATCGGAGCGGAACTTAGAGAAAACCATGCTAGCCACCCACGCCCGATGATTTGCGTATTAAGTCGCGTGAGTACTTGCTCATAAAATCGAGGGCGCAAAACCGTTACAGCATTTATGGCAACTACAGCGGGACAAACACTGGCGCGAACTCCAGTTGGTACAGACCTCGTGACGACATGGATAAGAGGAGGTCATGTTCAAATTGTGTCTCGATGGACCACCATGTTTCCGCCTGTTCTGCTTACAAACAGAACATGAAGGCAATAGGCCACTTTCTCGATGACGTTGATGCGACCGACGAGGACCACGAGGAGTACGTTAGAGGACTCATAATGAAGTATGGACCGAGGTGCTTCTTCTGTAATTTGGAGAGACATTTCAAGTCGGATTTCACTCAATTTTGGGATGCAGTGGCGGACGTAAAACATCCCCGTCATGAAGAGGCGCTTTCAGGCGGCAAAGCCAGTCGAGCACGTCTGATGAACGAGGCTGATTATCGGAGAAAAGAAACGACACCAAGCACCCTTACAACTAAAAAGTTGAAGACCTTGGCTAATGAGGTGGTAGCCTCGAGCCTGGAGGCAGAGTCAGCCGGCCCGCTCAAGGTGGAGAATATCCAACAGGAGCTAGCCACGAAGGAAGTTGAGCTATGGGTGGGGTTGGAACTGGAAAGCACAGATCTTCGGGAAAAATTTGACATCCTGGGGAAACAACGAAAGAAGAAGACAAGCAGGAACCCAGAAAGCTGTGACTAAAACTAAATGTTATATCGGGTAAAACCTTTGACATGACGAAAGAAGGAACGAAGATAATGTCCATTATTTTGGTCGCACGACACCAGGTGGTCAAGAACGTGAGTGAACCGTCCTGGTACACCTGGACATTTATGCGGACTACCTGAGGGAGAAGGATCCCAAGTTGGACACCACGGCAGTGCGAGCGCTGCTCACGACAGGAGGTCCAAGGCTAATGAGAGTGGATGGACATTACATCGAAGTCCATGGCCCATATCCGATTGTGATGAATGTGGATGGCATTAATATTTACACGAGGGCTCAAGTGACTAATGCGAGTGATCAGATAGGCCGGATATACCTTGGCCAAGAAGAGCTGAAGGTGCAACGAATCGAACACAATGCCATGCTTGAACAGGATGCGGTCTGCATAGGTTGCGAAGCCGATCTGGCAGCATATGTGCTAGATGTGCTAGGCAGACATCTTTCAGTAAAAGGACTGTTAGACACGGGTGCAGTGGTCAGCGTCATGCCAGTCAGCACCAGGACTGATATGGGCTTTGACAGGTCGGATCTGATACCGATAAACATCAGACTGGCAGCTGCCAATCAGGGAGCAATCTATGTGACAGGACGGACCCCGATTATATCACTGCAGCTTGGAAGAAGACATCTTTGGATGAGCTTTCTGGTGGTGGAAAATTTGGATGAATCCAATCAATTCCTCCTGGGAAGGGACCTCGTACGCAACTTTGATGTAACGATCGACCTCAACGACGGGTTGATCAGGATCAAAGATCCTGAGAGAAAGTATGAAAAGAAACCTCTTAATAAGATCCTAATTAACCAGACTAAGTTGCCAATTTTTCTGGATCCAAAAGTTAGATTGAAACTAAACCAAGCCGTGGTAGCGACGTTTAGGATGAGGAATCTAACTATTGAGTTAAAGCTTCTCCCCAAGCCGTGTTTTCCTCTACACAACAATTTAACTCAATAGTGTCAATGAACTTCAAACCTCCGCAGCTGCCCACCAATCCCACACCTGAGCAGTGGCGATGGTGGAAGCGCATCTTCATCGACGGGCTAGCCATCAACGGGGTGGTTGAGAATACTCACAAACTCACGTTCCTCAGGTCTCACGCCGGCTCGGAACTGTATCCCTTGCTACAAAACGCTGAGACCTTCGACGCCGCCATGGATATCCTGGACGCGCAGTTCGAGAAACCGACACGGGTCATATTTGCGAGGCATGAGCTGCTATCCTGCCGGCAGAAGGAAGGCGAAAGCATTCCTGACTTTATCAAGCGACTAAAGATTCTCGTCGAGCTCTGTGAGTGCAAACCCCTTACAGCATATGTACATAAACAACTGTTGCTTAGAGACGCGCTTGTTTCGGGATTGAGGCCCGATCATGTCCGAGCGAGGTTACTCGAACTCGACGACACCAAATCTGTCGACGATTGCATAGCACTCGCTAATGCAGTAGAGCTTTCAACTGATTATTCCAGGTCATTCCGCGCTGAAACCTCGGAACAATCAAACTCCGTTTCGGCTTTCCAGCCTGAACAGGTTGCAGGGGCGATTGCACAGAAGTACCCCCGAAATAGCCGATACACAAGCCAAAATAACGCGTCACATTCAAACAACTCAAACTGTGGGTACTGCGGTTTGCGTTTTCACATACGCAGCAAGTGCCCGGCAAAGCGCGACACGTGCCATAAGTGCCAGAAGTTGGAGCATTGGGCCACTGTTTGTCGTGCAAGTACTCCAACTACAGTCGCGTTGCAGGGTGAGGAATCCGAAGGATCCCTAGCATCCGTCATCTGTGCATTGTCTCCCAACACGGAGGCGAGACAGACCGTTTATGAGAAGGTACTGATTGGTGGCGTTCATCAAGCACTTGCACTGATTGACCCTGGAGCAACCGATTGCTATATCAAGTTCAAGCTCGCATGGAAATTTGAATTGCCTTTAACCGACGTTGAGTCATCTACCAAACTAGCAAACGGCGACAAATTGAATGTGCTTGGCTTCATCGACACACAAATAACAATAAAGGCAGAATCTTATTGTTGTCGCTTACACGTGGTTGAGTTGTTAATTGCCGATTTGATCATCGGAATGGACGTTCTTGCTAGCCATCAATCGGTTTATCTTGACCTCGGCGGTCCAAAACCACCTATCACTTTCCACCTGGGAGGACGTGATACCGAGATTACTCCCCCAATAAGCTTAGAACGAGATCAGTGTACGAAAGCATGTTGCAGCATGTTCCAAATTATGACAACCGAGCCCCCAGCACTATTTCCTGAGAAGCTCCTTGCCGTTGAGCCAATTTCTTCCAAGTCTCGACGAGTTTCTGCTGACAACGCGCTATTCATGAAAACTGAAGTAAAGAGGCTTCTGGATCTCGGAATAATTGAGCTGTCTGTTTCACCTTGGCGGGCTCAGGCCTTCGTTGTCAAGGGACCAAGCAAGAAGAGAATGGTAATTGACTATTCCGAAACAGTGAATCTATACACCGACGTTGACGCATACCCATTTCCGGATGTCGAGTCCATGCTTACTCGTGCGGCCGCTTTTCACTATTTCAGCAAAATAGATTTGAAATCCACATACCACCAAATACCGTTGCAATCAGATGACAAACCATTCACAGCCTTTGAGGTTGGGGGCAGACTCTACCAACTCACACGCCTTCCATTCGGTGTTACAAACGCCGTCCCAGCATTCCAGCGAATAATGGATAGCTTTATTGAAAGAAACCAATTGCGCTGCGCCGAACCGTACCTCGACGACGTCTATATCAGTGGGATCCCAAAGGAGGAACATGACCGGAATCTACACGCGTTCTTGAAAGCCGCGGAAAAAGAAAGCCTGACGCTCAACATAGACAAATGTACATTTGGAACCAGGAAATTATCCTTGCTGGGACACATTATTGAAAACGGCTCGAAGAAGCCGGATCCTGAACGCTTACGTGTTCTCATGGAGTACCCAGTGCCCCACACCGCAGCTCAGCTGAAACGGCTACTCGGGTTCTTTGCTTACTACGCGAAATGGGTGTCACAATATTCACTTAAAGTAAAGCCGCTACTAGAGGCCCAGAAACAGGGTGCCTTTCCTTTGAACCGCAACTGTGTCGATGCAATTGACTCGCTCAAGCAGGGCATTGCGTCTGCATCTCTGGCTATACCTATAGCGGGCGCCGGGCCGCTCCTCCTCGAAACAGACGCATCTGGGACAGCACTAGGGGCAACATTATCACAAGGTGGTCGCCCTTTGGCTTTCTACTCTAGAACATTGTCTACTTCAGAACAGATGCAGTCGTCAGTCGAGCGCGAGGCCATGGCTATTGTTGAGGCGTTTCGGAAGTGGGAGCATTTTGTTCGAACATACGAAACGGTTGTTAAAACGGATCAAAAATCGGTTTCGTTCATATTCTCCAAACACCGTTCAAAAGTTAAAACTGACAAACTCACGAGGTGGAGGTTAGAGCTGTCAGAATTTGCGTACACCATCATGTATCGGAAAGGCAGCGAGAACGTGGGCGCGGACGCTCTATCCAGACTCTCCGCTATCTCGAAAGAATCCCCATGTCTTACGTTACATTGCCAATTGCAGCATCCGGGCGTCGTCCGTATGTGGGAGTTCGTGAGACGTCATAATCTAGCTTTCTCTCTTTCAGAAGTAAAGGAGGATTATATATGACTGTGATACGTGCAAAGAAGTCAAACCGGCATTCTACAAACCTGGTGCATCGTCAATAATTCGAGCTTCACAACCCTTTGAGAGACTGGCCATGGATCTTGTCGGTCCAAAATCCGCCGCCCGAAAGACCGGTAACTGCTACGCCCTAACCGTAATTGACGAATACAGTAGATTCCCTTTTGTATTTGCTATCAAAACGATTACGAGCGAATCCATTATAGCATGTCTACGCCAACTTTTCTCAGTCTTTGGGTGTCCAGCATTTATTCACACAGATCGGGGCAGCCAGTTTCTCTCTTCCGAGTTCGACCAGTTTTGCTCACGAAATGGCATATCTCATTCGAGAACGACCAATACAACGGTCACTTAGTGGTAACGGCCAATGCCAGCAATACAACGGCACAATATTCAAGACGGTTAAGTGTATCCTACACTCGCGTAATTTAGGTGCTGATATGTGGGAATCTGTGTTGCCAGAAGCACTTGCTGCTGTGCGTGCACTCCTCTGTACTGCCACAAATGAATCGCCCCATTCCAGGTTTTTCAAATTCCCGCGGCGAGCAGGTCTAGGCTGCTCTCTTCCAGAGTGGCTGAGCAGCGGCAACCCTGCATATCTGAGAAATTTTGTGCGCGGAAAGTAGGACCCGCAGGTACGACCCGTCAGCATCTCGGACGAGTGGTATTCCCAAATGGATATATTGACACTGTCTCGACGAAAGATTTGTCACGGCGCAATATTCCAGCCCAAACGGACGCTACAGAACCCAGGAGCCCGCATCTGTCCCCAGTGAAGAACTTACCGAATGCCATGGAACATTTTCCAACGATCAAACCCGAGGAAACCTGCAGTATCCCAGTGACGATGTAACATTCGCCCGGAAGATGCATATCGACGGAAAACAAAACTAAGTCTTAAGACGACTGGCTAACGTCTAAACAGAGCTTTGCATGCTTTTCACCGTCTCTACCAAGGCAGTACTTTTCGGTGGTCTTTTCTAACATCGGGTCGACAAAAACGTTACTGCTTTCGGCTTCGGTCAAAACACTCAAATTAACTAGATTACATGCAGAAATAGTGAGCTCATGGCTGGGTCTCAGTATCCCCAGACCACGAGGTCACTCCTAAAAACAGGGCTACTACTTATTATATTACTATTGTTTTTGTTCAGTAGATAAAAATCATCATCTCCATCGAAGATGGATCAACCCTTTCCCCCAACTCCTAGCTTCTCATCCCTATCAAAATGAATCCAGATATTAATTAAATTCAAGTCAGGACATGACAGGAAGCTAAAAGTTTATGCAACAGGATAAAAGTTTCAGTTCCTTTACCCTTCCGGATTGATGAATCCGCTGGATCAAGCTCGCTAATCCTGATTTTCTCTTAATCCGGAAGGCCGTCTCTCACCCTTCACCGTTGTTCGCAACGGCCTTGCAACTGTTGTAGCAGCACAATAGTTGCAACTCGGAGTGTTCTTCCTTTACTCTGTAACTCGTTGTTGTTTTCCGATCTCAATTTCGTTGTTGTTGCTAGCGCAGCTAATGTTGTTCTCTTTTTTCTTTCTCGTTTTAGTCAAAATGGCCGTTTCTGACGTTTCTCAGAAATATGACGTCATAATTCGAATTTTTGAAATTTTAAAATACCAGAATATTCTAGCCCTCACCGTTTGGCCAATCGTTCCAATAACGTTCTTAATTCTTAATAATCATCAATCCGGAAGGCTTACTGCTAAAAATTCGAAGTCTGCATAAATTGCATTTTGGCCATTCTGGTCGAATGTCACATACTCCCCGGACAGTCCCGTCAATGCACTCATTGAATCGCACAATGTTCGTAAAATGGTTACAGTGTCATCGAACAGAATTTATAAAATGCACGAAATTACTTTTATCCACGTCACATCGACTCACTGCAGAACATAAATGGCATCATACTACATCACTATAGCCTTCAAATTCTTTCATTAATCTGCACATTGAGGATATAACCTAAGATAAAACATATTTTCTGACTCCCAGTGTCAATGTCCCGATTAAAACTTTTTCTCTTTGATTTAAAAGGTGTTGGCTTGCAGGACAGTCCTGCCAACCAACAAGCTAAAATTATCCTACTATGCTCCTTCCCTTCGGAAATCTTGCTTGTTTATTGTCCTGAATTTTAAAACTAAGAAACTTTGTGGTTAGAAAGAACAATGAAACAATCTCCCTCTTCGAGAGATTACTCAAGTTTTCCATGTCACCACAAAATGATCAGTCTTCCTAAGTGATTAAAAACAATCATGCAGGCTGGAATATTTAAATATACTCTCCTCTTAAGCCTTTCTAAATAAATAATAAGTGTCTCTAAAGCCACTTCAACTAAAATCAAAATGCAAATTTATAAATGCAACAATTTCAAAACTCAACTAAATGTTTCAGTTTTCAATTACAACTTGGTTGCTTGGTTTCTCACTTGAGTTTTTCACACACATAAAAAAATTCTGAGTTTTAACTTTTCTTCATCACTCCTTTGTTCTCTTCTTTTTTCGTCGTTTAGAAGTTCTAAAACTTCTAAATTCTTCTAATTTTCTTTCTTGTTGCCTCTTGTTTTCTCGACCATTCATCAATGTTCCATTTCTTCCTCCTGTGATACTGACTCCGCACTTTCGGTTTCCGTGTCTTGTAGCACATCATTGGCTATCCTGACGCTGTTGGAAGCCGTCCTCCAACACTTCTGCTCTTCTACCCTCTGTTTACAGCAAGGTAGGGGATCCACGTTGGATTCTCTGTTCCTGCAGAAGCTGTTGTGGAGACACAACGTCACGTTTCTCTCCAAATCTTCTTTCAGCATCTCTGCCTTCTCATTTCCACTACGCTCACTCGTCCTGGAAATTCTTTCCACAGCGGTGGTCACTGCATTCCGATGAGTCACGAAAGCTCGCTTGAAAGCTCCTGCCCCAATGTCCAGCTGATATTCACTGTACACTCTGCCATGCTTCGACATATGCTTTTTCGCATACTCGTACAACCATGCAGTCATGTTAGCTCTGAACCATGGCATCAATCGTTTTTTCGCCCATATCTTCTTCACTTCCATCGGAATGTTTAGAACTTTGCACATTGTCTCAAAAAGATCTAAATCTTTTAGACAATCTAATTTCCGCAATTGTTCTCTCGTTGGTGCCTCCTGTCTATTATTTTCTCTCACATGAGCTTCCAGCCATCGTATCGCCATCATAACTCCCACTATCACTATTGTTACGGGCTGTGATGAATCTGGTAAACCCATGGAGAGCAGCTCTCCAGAGTCCCAGATCAACATCAGATTACTACGCTTGGGATACCACCAGGTCTGCAGCAAGCAGTGGCAAGGAAACTCGTCATGTGTCAACATGATGCTCCTCCAATTACGTCTTCCCGAAGCTTCCAGCAATGGTTCCACTTCCATCATCACTCGGTGGATTTCATCCTCATCTACTGCATTGTAATCTGTGACAGTTGATCCTCTCTGTTTCTGTTTCTCAAAGTCACTGAAGTTCCCGCTCACATATCCCATGAACTTCTTTCCTAGTATTGACTCCAATTCTTCTTTGGTTCTCTCTGGGACTGCTGAGAACATCTTACATAGTAACTCGTAAGACTTTTCAGACATTCTCGCCAATCTCACACACTTCGGCACTGAGAAGGCTTGATCCACAATCGTTCTTGTTCTCTTCACGTCCACAGCTACGAAATGTACAGGATATCTGCTCTTGCACATTGGAGCCAACGTTGAACCCACCAAATATCGTGCTCCTGATGGTCTACAATAAGTTTCGCTGTGTCTGATGTTCATTTCTGTCTCGATTGCTTCCCTCCATTTCCCTATGTATTTCTGCTCAGTCTGCAGAACTCCTGGGAATACTTCTACGCTGATGGCTGTGACCATCTCATGTTTCTGTTCTAGATTCAATAGTGACTCTAAAGAACCAAACATGCTGTAGAATCCTAGTGCAGTCACTAGATTCACATCGGTTCCTCCATGGCAATCTGCTATCAGTTCCGTTTCTGTTCTAGCTTTCATCACTACATTTCCAAACAATACCGTCAATTGCTTGTGTTGTTTCTCCAGGGTCCTCACACAGTCCAGACCTCCACAAACGTGACCCTCCAGTCCACAGACTTCCGCCAGACAGCTACCAGGTTTGACCCAGTCTTCTGGTCCCCAGCCAGGCAACTCTACTTTATCTTCTCCGTTGCTCTTAGAGGCTGTTATCATCACATTATATATGATGTTGAGGTCACGCAGGTTACAGTCTGCATTCAGTTCCCTCTGTGTGTCCTGTGTCGCCCGTAATATTGAGTCAGCGTTGGGACTAGGACACCATGATGGCCTCATCAATTCCCACACTGCCATCAAGCTCGTTCTCAGTAATTCATCTGAGAATCCCAACCCAAACTCCACTCTCTTGTCGGATTTTGGTACTGAAGGTGCAGTCACCTCTTCTTCCAAGACCAGTCCCAATTTGGCCTGTGTATTGTTAACGCTCTTAATCGTTACAATTCTGGACGTCCAGAATCTTAGTAACACCGCCTGCTCATAATCAAAGAAGCAATCGCGTATGTCTTCACTCAGGAAAGGATTGTACGCTATCCCTATGATCCCGGATACGTAGCTATATGACTTCTTCTTGATCGGTCCACAGTATTCACTGGATTTCGGCAATGCTCCCATAGATTCTTTAGTGAGTCTCAACTCCTTGTTTGAGAATCTCCTGATCTCGTCTATCTTTTTCATGGGTTCCAATTCCTCAGGATCTTTCATGTTTACCCTCATCGGTTTACTTTGCTGCATATCCAGCAGTGCTAGCAAGAATAAGGCTTTCGTTCACTCACCGCCTTCCCTCAACATTTTAACACAAGTGTTTAATGCAGGTACTGAAATCTGCTCTATCAGGAATCGAATGAAACAGAGAGCGTCTCTCCGCTTCGCACACGCTACTGCTGCTCCCTCCTGGACTATCAGATCCCTCAGATTCGTC